CTGCCCCGGAGTGTGGTGGAGGCTCCTTCTTTGGAAGCTTTTAAACAGAGGCTGGATGGCCATCTGTCAGGAGTGATTTGAATGCAATATTCCTGCTTCTTGGCAGGGGGTTGGACTGGTGGCCCATGAGGTCTCTTCCAACTCTTTGATTCTATGATTCTATGATCAGATTCTGGGGTATAAGGACAGGGTAATAAACGTATTATACTCTTATATACCATTATGCTTGTAGTTTAAGTGGGTATTCAATCATGATTAGTCAGCAAATGTTGAAAGCAAGAAATATGCTAAACATTAAAGTCACAAAATATATCTGATACTAAACTTGTTCCTGTAATTCAGCAAATAAACACAAGATGGCAGCAAAGACCAGATTTGGGTGTTTGTTTACTTCCAAATCCATTCTTTGAGCAGGCACTGATTTAGGGTTGCATTTACAATTACCCTAAGTGCCCTAAAACCTGTTTAATAATATATGTGATTGCTTAATCTTGTGGATTTTTGACTGCGTGTATTAATTTGTTGTAAATTGCTTTGAAGTTCAAATTGGGTAAAGATCAGATAAGAAAGAAAAATATTATCAGGCCATTATATGCTAATCAAGGTGGTCAGTTGAAACATTCACACCTAGCTCCAGCAGACAAGAGTCCTTTGTCTCACCCTGGTCATTCCACAGATATATAAACTCTTTGTCCTAGTTCCAACAGACCTCACTACCTCTGAGGATGCTTGCCATAGATGCAGGCGAAACGTCAGAAGAGAATGCCTCTAGACCATGGCCATATAGCTCGAAAAAACCTAAAACAACCCAGTGATTCCAGCCATGAAAGCCTTTGTCTATACAAGAAAAATATTCATTTGCTGGGATCTCCAGCAGAAATGCAGCAATGATTTTTGCCTGAGATTAGAATTTTGGAAAAGTTTCTGTTTGGGCTATTCGTAGAGGCTTCCAAAAGACTGCCACGACCCCTTGGTAATCAGAATAAACAATACTGGATGAGACAGAAAAATAGTTTTTCCAGATGAAAAATATCTTATGTACCTATGGGAAAAATAGAACGGAGCATTCGTTAATCTCAACTGCTTAATTGTTTGCTGGATGGCGAGTCAACACATACATCCCGCTTCACCAGCCATCCCTTGGGACTCATCAGGTTCAGAACTGTGCAACTGGATGTTGGAGGGTTTTTCCTCCTTGAGGTTCTTGCAAGATTGTCACAGCCAAGGATGTATTGTTCCTATAAGCAATGGGCTGGTGTTCCTGTAACCCAAGAGATGCCTCATTGGGTTGTTGTTGGTTTTTTGGGTTGCATAGCCATGTTCCAGAAGTATTCTCTCCTGACGTTTCACCTGCATCTGTGGCAGGCATCCTCAGAGGTCGTGAGATGCCTCCTTTCTTTGGTTCATTCAGCTCCATGGAGCATTCAGTAACATTTGGAGACCCAAACTGGTTAAAAACCAGAGAGCACTGACCACAATGTAAATAAATTGCAGTTGGTCCTCTTTGTTCATGGATTCTCCATCCATGGATTCAATGGCACTTTGAAGGCAATTATAAGGTGGATATGGCCCTCAATGAAAATGTATTTGGCATACCTACCTTAGGTTCTTTATTTGGAACAACGACAGCCTAGGCATGAAGGGGATGGCCAGAGTTGATAAATAACGCAGGTAACATGTATGGTTGAATGCTTTCATGGCCGGAATCACTGGGTTGTTGTACGTTTTTCAGGCTGTATGGCCATGTTCTAGAAGCATTCTCTCCTGTTTCACCTGCATCTGTGGCAGGCATCTTCAGAGGTTGTGAAGACCTCACAACCACTGAGGATGCCTGCCATAGATGCAGGTGAAACATCAGGAGAGAATGCTTCTAGAACATGGCCATACAGCCCACAAAACCTACAGCACAGGTGACATGGGCAGGGAGTTTATGAGACAACAGCAGGAAACCCTTTAGCTAACGTGTCAGTACTGCGCAGGAGGAAATAGTGGTCAAACACTTCCAAACAAAGCAATACCTTGAAAATCTTAAGATGAGACGATCCAAAATTATGTCCATTTATTAGATAAGACCCCAAATTTTGCTAAGAGTCTGAGCAGCCCAGTGAAATTCATGAACCATCTGCCCGTGCTGTGTGAAAGGTTGCTCCTTTTATCTGCATCATGCTTCCCATCTCCATAGCATAACTAATGTCAAGAGATCATGAAGATCACATTATGGCAACCTCTGAAGGCAAATTCAGTTGCAATGATCATTCCACCCTCCCTCTGATGAGGTGAATAATAATAATAATAATAATAATAATAATAATAATAATAATAATAATAATAGATATGAGGATTTAAAGATCGAACTGCAAAGACTCTGGCACAAACCAGTAAAGGTGGTCCCAGTGGAGATCGGCACACTAGGTGCAGTGCCTAAAGACCTTGGCCTGCACTTAAACACAATTGGCACTGACAAGATTACCATCTGCCAGGTGCAAAAGGCCACCTTATTGGGATCTGCACACATTATTCGCCGATTCATCAGACAGTCCGACATGTGATCCAATACAACAGCCAACAGAGTGATCTTGTTTGCTGTGGACTCATCTTGTTGTGTTTCAAATAATAATAATAATAATAATAATAATAATAATAATAATAATAACAACAACAACAATCCTAATGGCCAAGTGATAAAGTGTCATCAGCCAGAGGCCTATAAATATCTGGGCATACTCCAGCTGGACAACATCAAACATGAACATGTGAAAACTGTGGTCAGCAAAGAATACACTCAGAGAGTCAGAGAAATTCTCAAAATGTGTATGCAAAATGTGGACTTTCTGGCTGAGCTATACATACCCTCTTCTGGCTTCCTGAATTCATTTTACTCTTTGTTTCACCGTGGTGGCACAGTGGATTAAACAGTAGAGCTGCTGAACTTGTTGACCAGATGGTTGGTGGTTCGAATTCAAGGGTGGGGTGAGCTCCCATTGCTATCCCCAGCTTCAGCCAACCTAGCAGTTAGGCAAGTGTGAGTAGAGCAATAGATACTGCTCTGGCAGGAAGGTAATGGAGCAAAAAGGTAACAGCGCTCCATGCAGTCATGCCGGCGACATGACCTTGGAGGTGTCTACAGACAACGCCAGCTCTTTGGCTTAGAAATAGATATGAGCACCAACCCTGACTAGGACACAACTGGACTTAATGTCAGGGGAAAACCTTTACCTTTGCTTTCACCTTACACACAGGTTTAATCAGGGCAGTTAATAACAGGGTCTCCTTGGAGACCTCTCATTCTCAGGATTTCTGTTAAGTCAAAACTTTTTTTTCTGATAGAGGGAGATCAACCTGCTCTCCACGGATTTGAACTGCTGTCGGTCAGCAGTCCTGCCGGCACAAGGGTTTAACCCATTGCACCACTAGAGGCTCCTAAGTCAAAATGAACTTGACAACACTTAGAATATAAGATTTGAAATGGATGGGTAATTGCTATGAAAATTTGTGCATGAAAGATAATAATGAGAAGCTCAGAAGCAAGTGAAGGTCCACCCCACTGCCACTGCCTTGGTCTTAGAGAGAAAGATGATGATGATGAGACCATTATCTGCTGCACTTCACCTCTTCCCACCCTGCCATCATCTCCTTTTCCTTTTGTGCCATGGCTTAATAATATTCTAAGCACAAAGGAAGGGAATTCTTTCGTTGTTCTTGTACTGTGATGGCATTATATTAATAAATGATAATAATAATAACAGAAAAAAGTGTTTGCGTAGAGGAAAGTGATTTTATGAAAGAGAAGAAGCAATAAAGCATGCGTTACCTTTAAAATTCCTCACATTTAACTCCCAAGTTCTTCACTTAGGACTGAAAAAGATACTCCGAGACCATGAGGAGCATCAGCCAGTCAAAATAAACAGAACTAAACTAGACTGACTGCTGGTCTGGGTATAAGAGAGCTTTCTATGATCTTAACCTTTGCTTTTTAATGTGGCATTTAGAACTGGAAAGACACAACAGAGATAGGAAACGGTGCTTCAAACGAGACCGCTCGTGCTTCAAAAAGAATTTTCTAAGCTTGATCAGTGAGTTGATAAGCGTTTGAAATGAGCATTAATGTGCCACAGAGGCATGCAGAAATATCGTTAAGAGGGAAACAGGAGGTAGAATTAAAGACAGATTCATTTACTACTGACCTGATTTTTTTTAATCACTTCTCTGTCAAGCATGTTCAATAAGAAACTATTTTTCTCATGTATTACAGTAAGCACCGGGATTGTGGCGCAGCTGAGTGTCAACTGCATTAAGATCACTCTGACCAAAAGGTCAGAAGCCAGCCCAGGTTGGAGTAGGTTTCCAACCAATTGTGTGTAGCCTGTTGTCAACCTTTGCAACCCGAAAGACAGTTGCATCTGTCAAGTAGGAAAATTAGGTACCACCTTAAAGTGTGGGGAGGCTAAATTAACTGATTTATGAGGCCATAAAGAAGACTCCAGCAAAGCATTCCAGCGGGGAAGCATGCGGGAATGCGGAAGTGCTTCATCAGTGTCGCAGATGGACGATGAAAGCGACAGCTCCCCTGGCGGCCAGAAAAAGTTAAATAGCCTCTGTGTATGTCTGTACATGTTTGTATGTAAAAAATTGGCATTGAATGTTTGCCATATATGTGTACACTGTAATCCGCCCTGAGTCCCCTGCGGGATGAGAAGGGCGGAATATAAAAGCTGTAAATAAATAAATAAATAAATAAATAAATAAATAAATAAATAAATCAAACCAGGCATGGGCAAACTTGGTCCCTCCAGGTGTTTTGGACTTCCAACTCCCACAATTACTAACAGCTGGTAGGCTGTTAGGAATTGTGGGAGTTGAAGTCCAAAACACCTGGAGGGCCCAAGTTTGCCCAAGGCTGCACTATAACATCCTTTATTAGGAGGGAAAGGATGCTAAATACTGAACCCTGGGCATGTTCAAGCTTTCTGAAGATGAAAGATGACATGGATACATAGATACCTTGTTCAAAGTACTTTTATAAGCATGAACATACATAAAATATTGAAATGCATACAGAAAAAACACAAACATGGAAGAGCTTTCTGCAGGCAAAAATAAAATATATGAGACATGAAGTTTCCAGCTCAGGAACAAGCAAACCATCACAGAGAACCATGTGAAAAAACCATGGTGCATTTTAAAGTATGGTATATACTGGCATAGAGATTGGTAATACCTGCATGCTATTGATACTGCTGTGGTAGTGGGCCTTTCTATAGTGGATGTCCCATTTTCCAGTGTAAATAAAGCAGCCAAAATACCTCCAAAGATGAATTACTCATTGAAATATTCTCAGATATAGTTGCCAAAGCTTACCAGTAGTGGTGCTCTTTAAAAGTATGCAAGATTAAAGTGAAGTTTGCTTAAGTATATATTGTCAGACTCTCAAGCAGGCAAAAAAACTTTAGTGGTACGCTGTTAATGCAAAGGGTTGCTGTGACTTTTCTGGGCTGTATGGTCATGTCCCAGAAGCATTTTCTCCTGACATTTCACCCACATCTATGGCAGGCATCCTCAGAGGTGGTGAGGTATATTGGAAACTAAACAAGGGAGGTTTATATATCTGTGAAAAGTCCAGGGTGGGAGAAAGAACTCTTTTCTGTTAGAGACATGTGTTAATGTTGCATGAAACAATCAGGGCCAGCTAACACTTATTTATTTATTATTATTTATTTACACCATTTCTACCCCGCCCTTCTCACCCCCGAGGGGGGACTCAGAGCGGCTAACACAGGCAACAATTCAATGCCACAATATCAATACAACAATGTAAAATCAAATACATAGCAAATTAAAACAATAACATTAATCAAAATCACATACTCATATAATAACAAAGTCACATAGCCGTTTCCAATTGTCATAACAGTCCTATGGTCCGGGTTCAGTGTCTAAAGTGCTGCTGTGCCCACTAGCTGAAGGGCTGGCTCCAAAACCACGACTTTAGTTTTTTCCTAAAAGTAAGGAGGGAGGATGCCGATCTGATCTCGCTGGGGAGCCAATTCCACAAGCTGGGGGCCACCACTGAGAAGGCCCCACTTCCCAACAAAGGATTCCCACAGGCAGAAATCAGCCAAGCCTTGAAGCTGCAAGGCTTTGCAATGCTAATTAAGGTGATTAATAGCAATATTCACACTTGCCTCCAACAGAGAAAATATGAATCAAGGAACATGAAAGGCACTGCAGACTAATTCAACCATAGAAGTCCGCTCTAACAGAGCACCTGACGAACCAACCTGGACACAGTATATTATTTGAGAACACAGAAATGATGGACCACTCTCACAACCACCATGTCAGGCTACACAGGGAAGCCATTGAAATCTACAAGCATGTGGACAATTGCAACAGAAAGGAGGAAACCATGAAACTGAACAAAATCTGGCTACCAGTATTAAAAAAAACTCTAAAATCTGGACAGTAAATATAAAACAACACTCAAAAACAGGGGAATTCCAGACAGAAAACAATCAGGGCCAGCTAACCACCTCCCAACAAAGGATCCCCCCAGGCAGGAAGCAGCCAACCAAGCCTTGAAGAATATTCAGTACTGATCAAAGTGATTAATTGCAACATCCACATTTGCCTCAAGCAGACAAGAGTTCTTTCTCCCACCCTGGACATTCCACAGATATATAAACCCCATCTGCTTAATTTCCAATATAGCTCACAACCTCTGGGGATGCCTCCCATAGATGTGGGCGAAACGTCTGGAACATGGCCATACAGTCTGGAAAACTCACAGCAACCCAGTGATTCCAGGCATGAAAGCCTTCGGTAACACAGTTAATGTATTATTATATCACAAATGTAAACAAATGATCTAAACATAACACAAAGTGCCAGACCTAAATGTTCAGCCTGTAAACCTGTAGCTTTTCAATTTCAATTAAATACAGTTATTTCCAGACATGGCCCTTCGGCTTCAGAAAATACAAAAGTGGCATATTGACAAGTGAAATAAATGCGGAGTTATTTCAGGCTTTGTAAGTTAGCAAGAACTCTCTGGTAGTGCAAAGCCCACATTACTGAAACCCCCACAAATAATGCCAAATAACATTTCTTGCTAGATTTAGTCAAGGAAGAGAGAGAATCTTATTCAATTTGCCTGGCATTTTATGTCGGCTGCAAACTTAATGGGTATTTTCAAAAGAAGAGGCAAACTTTGGATTTTTAGCCAAGCATTTGTCCCCAATGCAGGTGAACCATATACAACCAATAGGCTGCGTATTACTTCAGACTTGTTCCTGCTCAAAAGCCTTTGTTTATTTTTAAAGATAGCGAACATTCAGTTTATAATTTACCAACATACAGTAGTGTTTCCAAGAGCAATTCACTTTGCATGAAATAACTGCATCCATCAATTCCTTTTTTGCATATTTATTTCATAAAAATTACGAGAAAACTTATCACAGCTGAGTAAGAGTGAGTTCAGGCTAACTTCAGTAGAAACACACATTGAACATTAACAATAAATTCTGCGTAAAATACTTGGCTTTCAATATTAAAACACACCTGGTAAAATAAGTGGAAGAATATATTACAGCATCTGAAAGAATAACTAGAGTCATTTAGAGTAATTTACTCTTACCAGAGAGTGCCACAACTGCACAATATATATATATATTTGAAGAAACACTAGTAAATTTTAAAGAAAAAATATTTTAAAAGTATGTTTATTTAAAAACTGGGATAGCATCAATATAAAAGAAACACTGTAATAAAATAAAGTACAAAATATTTACCTTCATAATTTAAAACATACCACAAAGCCCTTTTTTTCTCTTTACATTTCAATTTCGATTTTGGTTGCATACCACTGATTGTTAAAACCTACAAAAAGAAATCGGGAAAACTAATTTGCAATATAAAAACTAGGCTCTCTCTAGTTTGTAGTACAATACAAAAAAAACATAGTTAATTATGTTTTAATAATAAAAGGTTGCACATCTTAAACAGATGCAGTAAATTTTTGCTCTCCTGCCTTAACCAGTTCACTGCCCTTCCAAAAAGAACCTGTTAAGTGTAAAATGAGGACACAAGGAAATACTGATTGATTGATCGATCCATCTATAGGCTGGAAAAGCTTGAGGGAAGGCTTTCAGAATGTTGAAGCTTTAAGGCATCTTTCTTCCTAGTCAAACAATTTTATATGTAGACTTTATTAAGGAAAAAAAACAATCTTGAGGTGTATACAGACTTGACAGTCAATTTCAATACCCTTAGACAATAAAATACTAATCCAAAATACAGTATAGTCTTGGTTATCCAACCTCTGGTCATCCGACACTCCACATTATCCAATGCCCCTAACCCCCTCCCCCCAAAGCACACACAAATCGCCCCCAGCACTCCTGACAGCAAGGCACAGTGGTGCAAAAATCAACCGCACCAGGTCCACCCAGCATGCGCGTCCTGCCCCTATCGAAGGATATTGCCACTTTTGTTGCCAGGACCAAGCACAATGAGTGAATGCAGAAAAGGTGGCAGAACCAGGAGCCTGGCCTCCCTTTCCTGCCTCCTCCGGGCCCCAGTTCCCTATCCCGCTCATCCTGGCAGTAAAGGCCGCCCTCCCTCGCTCACTCACTCATCCACCCTCCCTTTGCCTTTGCTGCCAGGACAAGGAGCCAGGGCCCTGAGGAGGCAGGAAGGGGAAGCTAGGCTCCTGGTTCTGCCACCGCCACTTTTGCCATTGGGACCCAGCCCGGTGAGTGAGAGAGTGAGGTAGGGTGGGTAAGTTAGCGAGCAAGCCTCTGATGCCCTCCCTTGCTCGCTCGCTCACTAGGCTGAGTACTGGCGGGCCTCGGCTCCTCGTCCCAACAGCAAAGGCAAGGGAGGGTGGGTAAGTAAGTGAGCAAGGGAGGGCGGCCTTTGTCGCCAGGACAAGCATGGTTGGGAGCCAGGGCCTGAAGGAGGCAGGAAGGGGGGAGTTTAATAGGCTTTTAATAATAATAATAATCTTTATTTCTACCCCGCCACCATCTCCCCAATGGGAACTCGGTGCGGCTTACATGGGGCCAAGCCCGGACAACATAATACAGCAATAAAATCAAAGCATATACAACAAACAACAACATTATCAAAATGACATTAAAAGAAAAAAATCATAAAAAATAAACATTCCAATAAACACAATCATGGTAGTAATGACAATGGCCAGAGGTTTAGCACAGCTGGTAAACCATTAGCAATTATGAGATCCATTAACCAAATGGTTGCAAGTTCAAAGCCCTGGGTTGGCATGAGCTGCCAACTGTCAGCCTAGCTCATTGTTTACCTAAGCAATTTGAAAACAGCGTTAGCTGTTATTAGAGAAATTAGGTACCGCTAAATAGCAGGGGAGGTGTTTTACGACGCCATAAAGAAAGATCAGAAAATGCTGGGCGACCAAAAGGAAGAAGTCCTGACAGCTCTTCGTCATAGAGGAAAGAGCAACAGCACCCCCTGGACTCGAGCCCAACCTTTCATGGCACCTCCTTCTGTACTGTCTGCCTGTGTATTGTCTATACAAAGCAGCACTGAATGTTTGCTGTGTATGTGTACTGTTATCTGCCCTGAGTCCCCTTTGGGGTGAGAAGAGCGGAATATAAATAAAGTGTTGTTGTTGTTGTTGTTGTTGTTGTTGTTGTTGTTGTTGTTGTTGTTGTTGTTATTATTATTATTATTATTATTTTCTGTGATCCCTCCCTATTGCCCAACATTTTCCTTGATTCTTCCCTATTATCTAACATTCTGCCGGCCTGTTTATGTTGGATAACCAAGACTCTACTGCAGGGGTCCTCAAACTAAGGCCTGTAGGCCAGATGTGGCCCTCCAAGGTCATTTAGCCAACCCTTGCCCTAAACTTTAGAGTTCAGGTCGTCCTGAGTCTGAAACTACTTGAAGGCACATCAATGCAACCATCCTAATTAATTTGACTCTCTCATCAGTCCCACACTTCCCATTGATATGCTGGTAAGTTTATGTTGGTTACAATTGTTCTTAATTTTAAATATTGTATTGTTCGTTCATGGGGTTTTTTTGCACTACAAATAAGACACATGCACTGTGAAAAGGAATGATTTTTTGTTTCAAATCGTAGTTTGGTCCCTCCAACAGTCTGGAAGGCCACAAACTGGCCCTCTGCTTTAAAAGTTTGAGGATCCCTGCTCTACTGTAGTTGAAAATATTCTGCTTCTTAGATGAACAGGTCAAAAGAGACTACAGCTTTTACTGAAATCACTCCAATATTTTTGCCAACATTTGAAAGGATATGATTCATAATCCAGTGTTTGGGTGAGAACGCCTGTCAGAACAAACTCTGCGTTATGAACATCTGCAAACAGAGAAAGAAGAACCATCAGTGCATCAATACAAAAGAATGCTCCGCGATAAATTCATATCAGCTCTTGATTTGGATGAGCCTGTATTTCATGAGTGTTATATTTGAACTGCTTTGGTTGCCACAGCCTAGGTTCATGAGTTGCCAAGTGAAAGGACAATATACCCTGATTGGATAACTTTACTCAGAGTAATGCATGTGAGCACCTACACATTCAGGTGTTGTTGTTGTTATTTCAAAAGTATGATCTGGGAGGAACATTTGCCTTCAAAATCACTCAGGAATGCCTCGTGCCAGAAAATATGTGAAAATTGTTGCTACTAACAATTTACTAAAGGCTTTTTGCTAAGTAATAGCAAGGATCTGAACCATTCTATTACAGCACTAAAGCAGCTGTTGTGGTTTAGCTGGGTGTGATTTCTACTTACTGTATAAAACAAAGCACTGAGTTTGTACTTGTTGAGCTTTGCATTTGCTTAGCTTGGCTCTGTTTTAGAGCTGGTAGCTCATTGGAGCTGGAAGCAGCAGGTGGCTGTTTTGTTGCTGGGAGCTGACATGCGGCGTTTGGAAGCTAGAAACTGAAGTGTAAGTCAACGCCAAGAATCTGCTTATCTGAACTACAAACCTAGGGCATCTTATTTTCAACAACAAGGACAGAAACTAGTTGTTTTTCTGTCATCAAAGAAAGAAGACTCACTGAAGAAAGTGTTTGTTATTATACTGTGGTGAGATCAACTATTCTGATTTGCTCTGTATCATTGTTGAACTAAAGAGAATGAACTATTTTCTTTTCTACATAAAACCACAACTGACTTATGTGTATTTTTCAGTTCAGGGTCAGACTATATCTAAAGGGGCTGAAATATCTTTAACAGGATATTTGCTTGCTTCCACGGTCTGCTATCACCAGTTTGACAAAAATACCCTCATCTCACACACATAACTGACTTGAAGTCACACAGTCATACTATAGGGTATAGATAGAAAGATAATGCATACATACCTATGCCTCTGGCAAAATATTCTCGGCATAAGTGGAGATCATTTTCACATGAAATCAAGATGATTTCTGACAAGCTCTAAATTAAAACAAAATGAGTTGAAAGTAAAGCTTTTTTCACAGCTGAAAATACTTTTTCTGAAAAAATGAGTTGAGATTATACTCACTTTGTTTTGTTTATGTTCCATAAGTTTGCGGAAAGAAGGTTGTTTGGACAACACCTTTCCACCTGCACATTCCACAATGGATTTCATGGTGGAAAGGCTTGGGCAAATGCCAGGTGTGATATAGAAATACTTCCCCTAAAGTAGAAAGAAACAAAAAGCACAGATGTTTATTTCCTGAAAGAGATTTGCAAGTGAATATCGCTATTTTGGCTTCATAACTGTAGTGAATTTTATGATCTATGTTGTATTTTGGTGTGTAGCTCTAGGTTACAATATGGCTGATAGGAAAGAATTGGCTCAAATAGGGTAGCAACAGTGAAGGCAGGATTAATTTGCATACATGAAGCTAACTGGTTGTATGCAGATGAGAGTATGCCAGGATTTGAAAAGGCCGCTGAGCCAGAATGGCAGTTATAGAACTGAACATTCTAAAGGGGCGAAGTCAAGTTTGAAAGAAGCAGTTAGAGTTTGTCAGTTAAAAAAGAGAAGTGGGGAGCAGTTAGAAACTTCGGTTAGAGAGAAGCAGTCAGGAAATAGAGCTCAAGGTTTAAGGGAAAATAAGAAGGCGTCATTGTGGCCTAATTCAGAAAATAGTTCAGCCAAGGGTATATGAAGAAAGTAACATATTTGTTGATGTGAGATAGTGAGGGTTTCATAAGAAAAGTCAACTGAGTGAATGATACTGAATGTAAGACTCGAGACTGTAACAAAACACAAATGTAACCATAAAGCATTGGAACCAGAAGCTATAAATAAACTTTGTTACTTTGTTGCTTACCGGAGTGTCTCAAGCATGTGATATAAAGCACAAAGGTTTAGCAGCTCACAAGAAAGCCCCAGACAATTTAAAAAGGAAACTGCAGCAGTACATGGCGGTAAAGGGATTTAGAAAGGAAATTATTTTTCCCCTCACTGAGTCAAGAAGAAAGGCACTTGTAACAGGACAGAAACAGAATACGTCCCAGGAATTAAAGTGATGACAGAAAACTACATATGTGGTGTGGCATTACGTATTCAGTTATGTGCAATGTTATGCCCCACAATAACCCAATGGCAGTCACCAGGCTCTCCCTGGAGGATCCAGCAAATTCCTAGAGGGAAATAGGGGTCTTTCTGTATATTTTTACATCATACTACCTTAAAGAGGGGTGCTGCATGAGCTCTCTTTAGGGATTCTTCTAAGCTGAAACAGAAAAGAACTTCAGCTTCTGCATCTCTGAGGATGTAGTTTTGCTCTTCTAGAATAAGGCAGAAAATATAATTGTAATTACTGACAATGCAAAGGAATGCAAAGGTTATCTATTACTGAGAATCACATCTAGAACAGATCTTGCTCCTTTGGTCAAGTGATGATGGTGGAGAAAATAATATGGTGATTTTTCACTTCTGCACAATCAGTCATAAGAATGTTTAACATTTACACAAATGATCAGCCACTGCCAAAAGGGACAGAGAGTTTAATCTACGCTGACGATCATGCCATCACTGCCCAAGCAGGAAGCTTTGAAATGGTTGAACAGAAGCTTGCCAAAGCTTTAGCTCAGTGGTTCTCAGGCTGTGGGTCCCCAGGTGTTTTGGCCTACAACTCCCAGAAATCCCAGCCAGTTTACCAGCTGTTAGGATTTCTGGGAGTTGGAGGCCAAAACATCTGGGGACTCACAGGTTGAAAACCACTGCTTTAGGTGCTCTTACAGCCTATTACAGGGAAAACCAGCTGATTCCTAATCCATCTAAAACACAGACATGTGCTTTTCTTCTTAAGAACAAGCAAGCATCTCGAGGTCTGAGGACTACGTGGGAAGGAATCCCGCTGGAGCATTGCAGCACACCAAAATACTTGGGAGTTACCCTGGACCATGCTCTAACTTACAAGAAGAGTTGCTTGAACATCAAGCAAACGGTAAGCACTATAAATAATATCATACGAAAGCTGACTGGCACAACCTGGGGATCACAACCAGATACAGTGAAGACATCTGCCCTTGTGGTTTGTTACTTGCATGTCTGGTGTGGAACACATCTCACCACGTTAAAACAGTGAATGTGGCTCTTAATGAGACATGCCGCATTATCACATGATCTCTATGCCCCACACCACTGGAAAATTATACGGTTTAGCCAGTATTGCACCACCTGACATCCACCCGGAAGTAGCAGCCAACAATGAAAGGACCAAGGTAGTTATATCTCCAGCCCATCCCCTGTTCAGATATCAGCCAGCATGCCAATGCCTTAAATCAAGAAATAGCTTCCTAAGATCTACAGAGATACTCGCAGGAACACCTCAGCATGTGAGAGTCCAAAAGTGGCAGACTAAAATCTGGAACCTCAACCAGTGGCTGAGACTGGATGAGAAACTCCCTCCTGGGCACACAGAAGACTGGGCGACTTGGAAGGCGCTAAACAGATTGCACTCTGGCACTACAAGATGCAGAGCCAACCTTAAGAAATGGGGCCACAACATGGAATCCACAACATGTGAGTGCAGAGAAGAGCAAACCACAGACTACGTACTACAATGCAACCTGAGCCCTGCCACATGCACCATGGAGGACTTTCTTACAGCGTCACCAGAGGCACTCCAAGTAGCCAGCTACTTGGTCAATGGACATTTAGTATAGCTTAGTTTGTGTTTTTAAATACATTACAACTGTACCCTTAGTTTGCGTTTGACACAATAAATAAATCATATACTATAAAATAAAAAATACTGCTTTACAACATTCGCCCATAAAAAAAGAATGAATAATCTTTTTTGCATTGTTTTTAAATATAATCTCTTTTAGAAATGCTGTTTATCCCCTTACCAACAAAAGAGACTGGTTTTATTGTTATGCTTAATGAATCTTTACATATTTATGGTGACCAATGTTATCACCTACTTACCTATAAATGTCTGGCATTTGAAACACTCTTCTAACCAGTCTGGGGTCACTATGTGTTTTACAACTGAAATTGCTGTTAGGAATTTCACTGTCCGTGTCACTTTGCTAGCTATTAGATGAGTGCATTTCTGTGCTGACTCCGCTACTTCGCCTCCAAGAATGTATAGTTTCTGAAAATTGGGAGGGAAAAATGTTAAAAAAAAAAAAGAATCTCAAGCAACATCACAAGAGATCAACCAACAAATGAAAGGCTTGCTCACACATAATTGTATTGTTGTACTTTTGTAATATAGAGTGGATTATATAAACAACCCCAATGTATCATGATGAAATAATAATAATAATAATAATAATAATAATTATTATTATTATTATTATTATATATACCCCGCCACCATATCCCCAATGGGGACTCGGAGCGGCTTACATGAGGCCAAGCCCAAATGACAATTACAATAAAGAAAAACCAAAACACAAACAATAAACAAAACATCATAGTTAAATAAAACATTAAAACATATGAATACAATGAATACATAATATAAAAATTACAGTATGCACAGGCATACGGTTAAAACATATTCCCTCTGACGTGAGAACACCCTTTAGATCTAAAAGACAGTTTTGTAAATACAAATAACAATAGATCTTTATTTTACTCAAGAGAGAAAGGAAAGTCACCTTGATGTACTGATGCACCTGGTTAGGCTCAAACCCTGTGAAAAGCACAACTGGGGTCAATTCTGGGGTTAGTTTTTTAGTAGGTGCTGGCAAGTCTTCAATTCTACAAAATAAGAAAAATGTATGGTTGAGCACTTTCTGACTTTTAAATGCAAGGCAATTGTATCCATATATTTCCAAAACCAAAATATAAACAAAGATTTCCATTTAGCGAACTTATGGAAAAAAGTAGTATGAGATAACCTATAAATCTCATGCATATGTTCACTAAATATGCGTTCACTGCTTTGTTTCAATTTAGCTGCTATAAATATCATGTCACTCTTTTGGGTTGAATATCCATTCATTGCAATACTTCTATGCAGTTTACAATGAATGAGGAACAAAACTCCATTTGAGCAAGATACTGCAGCAACTTGCTCTTTCAGGGCAAAGCATTTTATGACACTCTCCTTCAGGTTTAATACATATTAGCTTGGGCATTGCCCGGGTTATTTGAAAAAGTCACCTTATTAATTGTACAAAATGTATAAGGTTGTGGGTGAACTACAACTCACATCAAGCCAGGTTAACCCCATGAAACTCCATCAGTGGTTGACGTTTGTAGGGCAAGTTTGCTCTAGAGTAGGGGTCCTCAACTGAGGCTCAAGAGCCGGATACGGCCCTCAAAGGTCATTTACCCAGCCCTCGCTCAGAGTCAACCTAAGTCTGAAATGACTAGAAAGCACACGACAACAACAACAATCCTATCTCATCAGCCAAAAGAAGGCCCACACTTCCCATTGAAATACTAATAAGTTTTTATTTGTTAAAATTGTCCTTCATTTCAATTTTGTTGTTTTTAAGTGTTTTTGCACTACAAATAAGATATGTGCAGTGTGCATAGGAATTCATTCATGTTTTTTTTTTCAAATTATAATCCAGCCCTCCAATAGTTTGAGGGACTGTGACCTGGCCCTCTGTTTAAAAAGTTTGAGGAACCCTGCTCTAGAGGCATCATTGGTGGGGTTCAGTGTGCTCTCTGGCTGTAGGGTAAACTACAGCTCCCACTATGGTGAGTCAGTCCCCTCAAACCCCTCCAGGAGGTTGAGTTAGTCATGAAGGTTCTGTGCGCCAAGTTTGGTCCAGGTCCATCATAGGTAGAGGTCACAGTTTCTCTCATGGGTGAACTACAACTCCCAGAAAGGAAGGCCAGTTCCCCACAAACCCCTCTAGTAATGAAATTTTGGCATATCAGGTATATGTGCCAAGTTTGGCCCAGATCCATCAGTGTTTGGGTTCACAGTGCCTCTCTGGATATAGGTGAACTACAACTCCTCCAAATCAAGGTGAATTTCCCTCAAAGACCTCCAGTATTTTTTGCTGGTCATGGGGCTCCGTGTGTCAACTTTGATCCAATTCCATCTTTGGTGGAGTTCAGAGTGCTCATTGATTGCAGGTGAACTATAAAACCCAGTACCTGAAACTCTAAAATGTCCAGGCCAATTCCCCTTAAAACCCACCAGTATTCAAATTTGGGCATATCGGATGTGCATGCCAAGTTTGGTCCAGATCCATCATTGTTTGGGTTCATAGTGCACTCTGGATGTAGGTGAAACGCAACACCTTTAAATTTCTCTATTATTTTTGTTGGTCATGGGGATTCTGTGTACCAAGTTAGTTCCAAGTCCTTCATTGGTGGAGTTCAGAGTGCTCTTAGATTGCAGGTGAACTATACATCCCAGTACCTACATCTCCTATAAATCATGGTGATTTCTCCCCAAACCTCTCTAGTATATTCTAGTATATTACTGATCAATTCCTCTGTTTGATGTGTGCCATAGAAAAGAATAGGAAAGTGTTAAGGGAGAGACAGTGGGCAGGGTCATGCAAATTCCACACCAATGGAGAGTCAGAAACACTGGGATGCCTGTGGTGAAGGAAACACATAAAATCTAGGATGAAATTGTTCCCGTATGAATGCCTTCACTTGAGTGATGGGCAGTGTGGTGTTTATTGGGGACATTGGCAGGGCTCCTGGACATGTTCATGGCTCTCACTATAACTCCGTCACTGGACGGAGGGCCTTTGGTGTCTCCCGAGTAGTAGGAGCTATAGTTGGTTGTGTAACTCAGCGGTTCAAATTCTTTTTTTGACCAAGGACCACTTTGGTCAGGGACCACTCTCCAATATTAGTATCAAAAGGGTTACAAATCAGTTTTGGTTTTCAGTTTTTAGATTTGGTTTGGTTATTTGGGATGCCGATTCAGAAAATTGCATTGGATAGACCACATCAGCTCTAGTTTCTGATACAGAACATATGCCATCCACTAGTCGTCATCTGCTCATCCACAGAAAACCATATTTAATAAGCCTTAGCACTATAAGAGGATTTCGCAAGACCAGTCACTCTCGTTGCAACAGTGTAGTAACGGTGAGGCTGTGGACCATATTTTACTTCTTGCAGACCACTGGTGGTCCACAAACCACAGGTTGGGAACCACTGGTGTAAGTGGACACCCCAGCCACACACACACACACATATATTTTCATTTTTATTATGTGCATAGAAAATTACTGAAGTCTACACTCCACGTACTAAGATTATTTTTCTTAAAAATTGTGATACTAAGCTTTCATCTTCAGGATTCTCCTCAAAATCCTATAGTGATTCATTCACTCCCTTGTGACATTTCTGTCTAGATAAACATCAGGTGAAGTGCTTGTGTTAAAACTAGTCTAACTGATTTTGAAAACAACATACTAGTTACAAGAAAAAGTAAACGAACTGCTGTACATGGTATCTCTGTCTCTTTCTCTTCCTCACCTTGGTCGCTTGATCGAAGGTTGATTGACTGGTTCATTTTGCTTTGGTTTAAGTGGCAATCTCACACCCTGCAACAGAACAGTTTGTGTATAAAAATAAAACAAACTTGTTTTTATTCTATATTCCAATAGTAGGGTTAAATATTTAAGCAAATAAAGACATTACTTAATTCTGGTATTCAAAATACACATACCCTTATAGTGCAATCTACACGTGTAAAATTCAATGAGATTACTCCAAAAATCCTTGAATGTTTCCCAAGAAAATCCATTCCCACAACTTATGAGTAAATTTCCCCAATGCATTCATATTTTCTATCTCTGTTCAGCACTTTTTCAAAAGTTTATGTCAGAAATAACAACATCTCACTCTGCAGTTAATGCTAAGACAGAATTTAGTGTTATTTCCACAAGAAATGTGGTTGCATAGAAGACAGGGCCTGACCTTACCTATTTTATTTTCCCTATGACTGAGGATCAAGACTAAATCAGATTTGACAGGATCTGCCTTTTTATACTGATGTAATTGCCGTGGAACCAATTTGTACTGAAGGGCTATGTAAAACATTTGATGTGTGGAGTATTTATTTATTTATTTTTACGATATTTCTATGCTGCCCTTCTCACCCTGAAGGGGACTCAGAGCGGTTTACAAGTAAAAAGTAAATACAATATATTATATTATTATCATATTACTTCTTGCATATTATTATCATAGCACAATATTAATATTATATATTACAATGTACTATAACATTATACTGTAATATTATTGGGTTTCTTTGGTTTTTTTTTTTTTTTTGGTCGTGTCAGGAGTGACTTGAGAAACTGCAAGTCACTTCTGGTGAGAGAGAATTGGCCGTCTGCAAGGACGTTGCCCCGGGCACGCCCGGATGTTTTGATGTGTCACCATCCTTGTGGGAGGCTTCTCTCATGTCCCCTCATGAGGAGCTGGAGCTGACAGAGGGAGCTCATCTGTGCTCTCCCCGTATTTGAACTAGCGACCTGTCGGTCTCCAGTCCTGCCAGCACAGGGGTTCAACCCACTGCACTGCTGGGGGCTCCTATATTATTAGTAATATTACATTTAATATAAAATATATAATTATAATATCACATTATTGCTAGTAGTAGTATATTGTATTACATTATAATATTATCAATATTATATGTATATACAATATTATATTATATTATATTATATTATATTATATTATATTATATTATATTATATTATGAGCACAGTGCAGGAGACAAGACGGAACTGCCTTCCTGGCCCCTCTCTTCACTCTGATCTCAGAGAAGCGGTTGGTGCTGGGGGGGGGGGGGGCTCCCAACTGATGACACTGGAGGCAAGAAGTACAATTGCATCCACAGCTTCATTTAACAAATGAAATATTTGTTAGGCTAAAGCAGGCCTGGACAAACTTCAGTCCTCCAGGTGTTTTGGATTTCATCTCCTACAATTCCCAACAGCCTACAGGCCTGCCTGGGCTAAAGGAATTAAAAGCAAGCTCACGTACCATTAGAAGTTCCGACGATACTTTTAATGGCACTCTCCAAGCATCTGAAATTAATAAAAAGTGAGAAAAAAAGCAACTAAGAATAGTTTCTGAAACTGAGTGCCCATCTTCTCCTAGCAGACCCAAAATTCCTGTCTGAAAGCACAAAGAGCCACAGCCAATCAGGGTCTGGATCAGGCCTCTTTCTAATATTTAGGGGGATAATTTTTCTTGTAAAGGCACTTTCCAACAGTCCGAATTACCACTAATTTAAAACTACAGCAATTTTTAATCACTCTGAGAGTAAGTTCCATTGAGACATAAAGGTCTTATCAGGGGTTGAGGAATATTCTGCAATATATTAAGATGAATAGATTAGATTTCAAAGTCGCAGCAGCATTATCAGATGCCTAAAGTTTGTTTTGGGGTTTTTTTGGTAACTTTTTGAAGCCATCTGGTAGTTTCTCTTACCTAGGAGGTTTAGAACTAGATGCTGGTTAGGAGCAAGTGGGTCTTGAAGGTTGAACACTGTGTATCGATTGTTCTGCATTTGCCGCAATGCTTCAAAATTCCCAAGTAATATATCACAAAGCCACTGTGCATTCACACATGGTATCCTCCACTCTTTGGCTTTCTCGTATTTTAAGCCAGTAGGCCTTTTCAGAGAGGAAAAAGGAACGCATTAATGATAACTAGGCATCTCAAAATGTGCTAAACTCATTCTGCGTTTTTTAAATAATTTATAATAGTGAAGTCACTTTTGGGGAGATAAAGTGGGGTATAAATAATAATAATAGTAATAATAATAATAATAATAATAAAAACAGGAGGGATCACAAGTCTGAAAAGTTACAGAAAATGAACACATCAAACTATTCTTAGATTTCCGAATTCAGACTGACAGAGTTTTGGAGCACAATACTCCTGACCTCACAATCGTGGGAAAAAACAAAGTATGGATCATCAATGTTGTAATCTCAGGCAACAGCAGGACTGATGAGAAGCAACACGAAAATCTTACACTATACGAGAATTTAAAGATCGAACTGCCAAGGCTCTGGCACAAACCAGTAAAGGTGGTCCCAGTGGTGATCGGCACACTGGGCGGAGTGCCTAAAAACCTTGGCCTGCAGTTAAAATCAATCGGCGCTGACAAAATCACCATCTGTCAGCTGTAAAAAAACCATCCTACTCGGATCTGCATGCATTATTCTCTGATACATCACATAATCCTAGACACTTGGGAAGTGTCTGACGTGTGATCCAATTCAACAGCCAGCATAGTGATCTTGTTTGCTGTGTACTAATCCTGTTGTGTATAATAATAATAATTTTATACCAGAATTATACTGAAGCATGAAAACTATTTAAGTACCTGCATAGGTTTGTAGTATATATAGTAGTATATATAGAAGTTATATTAGATATATTATATTAAATAAGTTTTCTAGATCACACATAACTTTTGTTTTCACATGGGTTTAAAGAACTGTGAATCAATTAATAATCCATTCCTAATTTGTGAATAGTTTATACGCCTATGAGCACATACAGTTTCAACTGTGAACAGTTAAAAGCTGGCAAACACATACAGTTTGGAACTGCATTACATTATCAGTGTGGACTCATTTAAAACAGTCCAATGCAGTGTAGGTAAGACCTTAGATGCAAGTGCCTTTTAATGGCTAAACAGGAAACATTCAGCCTATGGTATGGCTTAAGAATGTAAGCTTTTACATTGCCCCAACAAGTGCTTCCAAATGGTCAGTCAAAACATCTGGAGGCACTAAACTGATGTAACCAAACATTCCCAGGACTACTTTCCAGATCATGTTAAATGAAAAATACTGTTTTTATTCATAAGCTGCCTAGCAAAGAAAGAATTGTACTATAGTACTCATATATGCAACACCAGAATTGTATTACATCATATAAGCAACACTTACTCTTTACAGATGAGAACTGTATTGCTGTGACAAAGATAGCCTGTGTATTTTGCCCCTGCCAGGTAGGCCATCAGCTTGAGATCATCCCTGTCACTGTCGAGAAACCCTGTCACTGAGATTATCTGGCATAGAAAAGAGCACAACGTTGTTGAGTATGGGTTATAGACATTCCTATTAAGTTCTGTTAAGAAATTTTCATTTCCCAAAGTATGAATCTGGAACGGTTTGCAGGCATGAAGTACAAATCTTTCTTGGCCCTTTTTCAGTATGTGGACAATGGGAACAGAGTGTCCACTAAAGCAGACCCACTACATTCACTTCTGATTGATAAAAACACTTATGGAATTTCCACTGGCTTCCTCCTCCTGGTGGAAATGGGCCTTTCTAATCAAAATGCTAGATATACAGTTTTCTTACATGTTGAGAACATGGTTTTCCTCCTGGTGGAAATGCAACTGGAAAATGAAGTGCTCGATGGGGTGGCACCATTTTCTTCTTTTTTATCACACAATTCAGCCAGTGAGCAGTGATACATCTCTTCCTTTCTTTCAGTGCCTGCAAAACACACACACACACATTGAAGGCACTGCTTCTTTGGGTATTAAACTCTTTTTTAGAATAACATTTTGAAAAGGCAAAAATATTATCAGCAATAATGGCCAACAGAATGAATAATTGTATGTATAAATATATAAAAAATGACCAGTGTGGTTTCGTGAAAGGGAGACAAATGCCAAAATTAATAGGGAGAGTAATAAATAAAGTTTGGGCAACTCAACAGGGTAAAACAAAGGTAGGGATATTGGTCCTGGATATATTTAAGGCATTTGATTATGTGGAATGGAGGACACTAAAAATAATGAGTAAGTTTGGAATGGGGAATAAAATGAAAGGATTGATAGAACAATATTATTCAAACAACACAGTGAGAGTAACAATAAATGATGGAGTGACAGGTGTTATAAAGATAATGATGGGAACAAGACAAGGTTGCCGTTTGTCACCAATATTGTTTGCCACAGTGATAGAATTACTTGCTAATGTAATAAGAAAAGATGCGAAATTAGGAGTAGGAACAACAACAAAACAAAAAAATCAATTTATTTGCTGACAACACGTTATTGACAATTAAAAATATGTGTGGCAATATGAATAGAATAAAGTCACACTTAGAGATCTTTGGCAAAATAACAGGTTTACAAATCAATTGGAAAAAAGCAGAAATTATGCTACTTAATTACACAAAAAAGGAAGAAGATGATTTTATGAAACAGGTTAACACGGGAATAAAGATCAAGAAAAGGTTTATCTGATTCACAAAGCTTCTAACTATCATGCTTTAAACCTAGGTTACAATGATAGTACTCAAGTTAGTAGCAGACAGGGTCTAAAAATATGAGTTGCCAGAAGACAAATGGGGCCCAACTACTATAAAGCTGTAATTTATTTATTTTATAATAAATAGAATGACATTTGTAAAAAAAATAAAAACAAGCAGGAAAAGATACAGATAAAATTATTGTGAAATAAAGGCAGACTTTTTATTAATTACAGCATAAATATATTGTATATATTACTGGCACTGCATAGTAGATACTAAATGTAAATAAAGCTTGTTATAATTGAATTTTTAATTATTATTTTTAAACTATACACATATGTATGTGTGTATGGCTGGAGTGTCCACTTACACAGACAAGCTCCTGCCTCCACAAACAGCTATAGATCTCACTACTCAGGAGACCCCCAAAGGCCCTCCCTCCAATGACATTGTACCATGAAAATGTACAAGTGCCCTGCCAATGTCCTCCACAAACACAACACTAACCACCACCCCAGTGAAGGTTTTCATACAGGGACAATTTCATCCTCTGCCACAAACATCCTGGTGTTTCTGACTTTCTCCATTGGGGTGGAATTTGCATGACCCCACCCACTGCCTCTCCCTTAACCCTTTCCTATTATTTTCTATGGCACAAAGCAAACAGAGGAATTGATCAGCAACTGAAGATACTACAGAGGTTTGGGAAAAATTCACCACAATTTATAGGAGTTGCAGGTCCTGGGATGTATAGTTCACCTGCAGTCTAAGAGCACTCTGAACTCCACCGACAATGGACTTGGCACACAGAACCCCCATGACCACCAAAAAATCTGGGAGGCCTTTGGAGGGATTTATAGGAGTTGTAGTTCACCTACATCCAGAGCACACTATGAATCCAAACAAAGATGGATCTGGACTAACCTTGGCATGCATACTCAATATGCCGAAATTTGAAAACTGGTAGGTTTTCGGGGGAATTGGCCTGGGCATTTTGGAGTTGTAGGTACTGGGTTTTATAGTTCATTTGCAATCAATGAGCACTCTGAACTCCACCAAAGATGGAACTGGACCAAACTTGGCACACAAAGTCCCCATGACCAGAAAAAAAAAATACTAGATGTCTTTGAGGGAAATTCACCTTGATTTTTAGGAATTGTAGTTCATCTACATCCAGAGAGCACTGTGAACCTAAACACTTATGGATCTCGACCAAACTTGGCACACATACCTGATATGCCGAAATTTGATTACTGGAGGGGTTGGGGGGGGGGGGAATGACCTTCCTTTCTGGAAGTTGTAGTTCACCCACAACCAGGGAAATTGTGACCTCCACTGATGACGGACCTGAACCAAACTTGGCACACAGAACCCCCATGACCAACTCAACCTACTGGAGAGGTTTGAAGGGACTGACTCACCATAGTGGGAGTTGTAGTTTACCAGAGAGCTCACAAAACTGCAACAATTATGCATTTAGAGCAAATTTGCCCAACATAGCAAACTTTAAGTACTGATGGAGTTTTTCAGGGTTAACCTGGCATGATGCTTAAGGATGTAGTTCACCCATATCCTTAAGCATTTTGTACAATTTAAAAAACTGGCTTTTTCAACTAACCCAGGTGATGCCGAGTAACCAAACTAGTTTGAAATAAACAGTGGATTGTCTAATGTTTAAGGGGGTCCACTGTATGTACTGGTATAGTGGCATGTCTGATTATTTTAGATGTCAGGGGCTTCATTGATATGGGCTTACTGACTTTTTAAAGCAATAACTATCCATTATAGTTTTTCATTTGATAAAAGACAATAAGAATGACTTGCTTCATAGGGACACTTAATCTGAGCATTCCTATTTAAATTACAAAATGTTTCATCCAGTGGAATTGATTTAACTATCTACACTCAACACATAAAAGCTGCTATTGAGAGCAACCATCTTTCACGGTACCAATCCTTCCATGGAACGCTTTCTCATTGACTCTTTAATATCACCAAATTAAAATAATTCAACAATTTGATTTCTTACTGAACTAATGGGGCAGCGTACACCATATTGTTTTACCTGAGCATACATATTACTGAGCTGGCTTTCACAGAGAAGATGTGTACAACGACTTGTGAGTGTAGGATCCATTGTGCCACCATGTGCTTGGATTACCTAGAACAGAAAAAAAGAAACATGTATAAGGCTGATGAAGCTAAAAATTCCTCTCAAGAATTATTTCCTACTTTACATATACTTCACAGGTTATACAGGTAACTTGCTTGAAAAAAACTACCTATTACCAAGTAATCTTTATTAAGAAACACTTATTAGTATGCTGGTTATTCCAATGTGCCTTCAATGACTGAATGCAAGACACTCCCTGACCAAACTTTGCATAAAATGACCTCAGAAGCACTTTATTTTATGGTTTGTGCAATTAAATCCTTCCTCGTTCCCGGATCCCCCCTCTCCGACAATTTACATTGTCCTATCTCCCAGTGTTTTAAATTTTTTTATCTTTGAATTTGGCCCTGCCCAGTGTAATTCCTTTGTATTTTAATGCTTGGTTTTATATTGCTATGTTTTCTATTATATTGGTTTTACATTTTATGTATTTTATTTTCTGGTTTTGTTATGCTTTTGTGTAATATTGTGTTTATTGTACTGATAGGCGTTGCCTCATGTAAGCCGCCCCGAGTCCCCCTGGGGGAGATGGAGCGGGGTATAAATAAAGTTGTTGTTGTTGTTATTATTATTATCATCATCATTATTATTATGCTGGGAAAAAGAAACACTATAAAGTTATGAGACATTTTTGGCAGCAGGATGTTAAAAACTAAAGATAATGCAGATAGGTGAAAATAGTAATTGAAGCTAGCCAGCAGAGGAAAGGGAAATAAAGAGGACACAGAGAATGAGATTTTGCATGATTAGAAAGACTCATCCATAAAGGCAATGAACTGAATGTATCTCTATTCCTAAATAAACCGCTTTTAAGAGAACATATTTATTTTTGTGTTAAGACACTCTAAAAAACTGATGTGAAAAATTAAGATTGACAAGAGTCATAGTTACCCGTTTCCATGTTGCTAACAGCTGCTTATCAGACATCTGTTCGGGGTAATCAGCAATTGCAAACACACAACCCAATAAGAAATAGTCTTCAGGAACTGGAATAAAAGAAACAAAATGAGTATGTGTTGTTGAAGGCTTTCATGGCCAGAATCACTAGGTTGCTATGAGTTTTTCGGGCTGTATGGCTATGTTCCAGAAGCATTCTCTCCTGACGTTTAACCCACATCTATGGCAGGCATCCCCAGAAGTTGTGAGGTCTGTGGGGTTTATGTCTGTGGAATGTCCAGGGGATCCCCTCAACTCTGCAGGAGTCCAATGCATAGCATGCAACTGTGGACAAGTCTACATAAGGACCACCAAATGGAGGACCAAATACGAATCAAGGATCATGAAAGGCACTACAGACTAATTCATCCAGAGAAGTCAGCCATAGTGGAACACTTGATGAACCAACCTGAACACAGAATATTATTAGAGAACACAGTAATGCCGGACCACTCTACCATGTCAGACTACACAGAGAAGCTGTTGAAATCCACAAGCACAGAGACAATTTCAATAGAAGGGAGGAAACCATGAAAATGAACAAAATCTGGCTACCAGTATTAAAACAACTCTAAAATCAGGACAGTTAATAAAGAGCAACACTCAGAAAATGGGAGAATTCCAGATATGAAACAATCAGTCTCAGCTAACACCTCCCAACAAAGGATTGCTCTAGGCAGGAATCAGCCAGGCCTTGAAGTTGCACAGCTTTTCAATGCTAATCAAGGTGGCCAATTGCAACATTCATACCTGCCTCAAACAGACAAGAGTTCTTTCTCCCACCCTGAACCTTCCACAGATATATAAGTGCCATTTGTCTAGTTTCCAACAGTCCTCACAACCTTTGAGGATGCCTACCATAGATGTGGGTGAAATGTCAGGAGAGAACGATCTGGAACAAGGCCATACAGCCTGGAAAATTCACAGCAACCCATTAAAAATTAACTGTTTGTTTTATTTGTTCCTAGATTTACACATCACAAAAGAAGTACAAACTCCCGAATTGTGATTGCAATCCCCCTTTTCTAAGTAAGCAAGTGATGAGTGTTGGGACAAAGGTCATCTAGATGTACTGGGCATCCTGCAAATGCAGGTGTTCAAAAGACTGGGGCCTCTGTGGGTTTTACTAGAATTCCAAGACCTGTGTCTGCTTTAATTTCTTCAACCCATTTTATATTAATTGAAGCCACAGCATGCAAGGATTGCTCTTCACTTAAATTAAGGTGCTTTGTGAAAATTACTATGTGGATCCTAAATGATATGAGATCGCCGTGGATAGAAAAATTAATGTGGGCACATTAATGAGCCCAAGATTTATCTTCCACAAGTGCTATTCAGATGAACAAATTCTTGGCTAAACGCTATGGAATCCTGGGAGTTTTGATGTGGTGAGTCATAAGCACTATTTGGCGTAGAAATCTAAAGACCTCATTAAACTTCAGCTCCCATGATTACATAGCATTGGGCCATGGCTGTTTAAGTGGTAGCAAACTGCATTAATCCTACAGTGTAGTTACAAAACAGGAAAAATTGAATATATAAAGGGGTGTCTAATGCATGTTGGAAATGTAAAGAACTAGAAGGGACGTTTTATCACATGAAAGAAGAGATTATGTGGAAATTTTGGCAAGGGAGGCATGAATAACTGATGTATACATAATCACCGACATGAAGATTGTAAGTCACTTGTTTTCTCTTTACTTTTGCTCTGTATTTTTAAACTTTTCCTTATATTGTATTTCTTTCTTTTTTTGTTTTTAATCTTTGTAATTTTAAATGTATTTTAAAACTTTAATATTTAAAAAACAGTCCAAAAATAGAAAGTTTAAGGAGCTCCACTGGCTGCAGTTCATTTTCCGGTCCCAATTCAAGGTGCAGGTTCTTACCTACAAAGCCCTGAACGGTTTGGGACCCGCCTACCTGCGTGACCACATTTCTGTGTACAAACCCACACAATCTCTTCTGTCATCTGGAGAGGCCCTGCTCGTGCTCCCACCTCCTTCGCAGGTGCKATTGGTGGGGACGAGAGAGAGGGCCTTCTTGGTGGTGGCCCCCCGACTCTGGAACTCACTCCCCAAGGACATCAGACATGCCCCAACTCTGGCAGTCTTTAGGAGGAGCCTGAAAACGTGGTGTGCCTTCCCAGAATAAGGAAAACTCTCAGCAATATACCCTAAAAATGCACTTTACCATTGATTTAGGACTGACTGTGTTCCCTCATCTCTCTTTGAAAACCCTATACTAGTTATATCCTACCTTGCTCATGCCCAGCGTTAATTTTAAATTTTAAACTATTACATTTGGCCCGGCCATAGGYTTTTAAATGCTTGTATGTTACTGTTTATTGTTTATGTGGTTTATATTAATTGTATTGTATTGACTGTTTTTGTTATTGCTTTTGTTTATTGATGTACTGTGGGCTTGGCCTCATGTAAGCTGCACCGAGTCCCTTGGGGAGATGGTAGCGGGGTATAAATAATAATAATAATAATAATTATTATTATTATTATTAAAGTTGCCTAAAACGAATAATCCAAGACTTCATCCCCTGCTCATAACAAGATGGATCACGAACCTTCCACGGATGGATCATGTCCAAATAGCTGATGTGGCTGAAGCTGCTGCTGCTGTTGCTGCTGCGGGTGCTGTAAATGCTGCGCCTGCTGAATGGAAACCTGATGCTGTTGTAGTGTCTGAGTCTGAGGTGCCTGAGTCAGGTGTTGCGATGCCTGGTTTTGCATCTGCTGCTGCTGCTGCTGCTGCATGCGCTGCAAATGTTGCTGCTGTAGTTGTTGCATCTGTTGCTGCTGCTGTTGATGCTGCTGCTGCTGCAGTTGTTGGAGGTTTTGCTGCTGCATTTGCAACTGCTGCTGTTGCAATTGCTGCTGTTGTAGTTGATGTAACTGCTGCTGCAAGGCATGCTGCTGCTGCTGAAACTGCAATTGTTGCTGAGGCCGATGCATCTGTTGTTGCGGATGCAGCTGTTGTGGAGGAAACTGAAGCTGTTGCTGGGAAAACTGGTGCTGATGAACTTGCTGCTGCTGTTGCTGCTGCTGGACAAACTGATGAGGCTGCTGTGAGAAAGGCTGCTGTGTAATCTGAGGTTGCTGGGGTTGTTGTTGCTGCAACTGCATGATATGCTGGGGCTGAAGATGTAAGAGGGGGTGGTGCTGCTGCTGCTGTTGTTGCTGCTGTTGTTGCTGCTGCTGCTGAGGTTGGTGCTGTTGTGGTTGGTGCTGCTGTTGCAATAAGTGTGTTTCTGGGGCCAGTTTAACCTGGCTAAGCAAGACTGCATTTGAATGTCCCTGCTGTTGGCTGTGGTTTACCTGCTGCTCCAAGGTTTTCGTAGGTGCCGAAAGTGACTGCAAGATCTGCCAAAAAGAAACCAACAAGAATCTTTGTAAGGGATGTCTCCTTAAAAATGTAAGTATAAAGCCTGTTGGAAGTGAAGACGCATTAGCACTTGTATAGAGCAATTAAGGGCAGAGGGTAACCTGAGCAACATGCCTGCTGTCTTGTTTTTCACCTCTATTTAATTCAAGATGTTTTTTGCCTCTTCTCTATATGAAGATGTCACATCTCCCTTCTTCTTAGAAGTCTTTAGAACAGGCATGGGCAAACTTCAGCTCTCCGGGTGTTTTGGAGGGTCAAAATTTGCCCATGCCTGCTTGAGAGTGCTTCTTATTCTTTGTTTGAGAAGGGAGCACCGTGAGGCTTCTCTACAGATACATCAGCGCCACCATTATGGACTCTTCTACCAATGTTAGATAACTTTATTTTGTCTAACTACTCATATCTGAGCTGGGTTACCTGCAACAATAAAAGCAAGGTTTTGCCTTGTTTAAATCTTATCAAAGCTCTATACGGTTCTGCCCAGCTTACTTGTCCAAACGCATCCACCCCTACGTCCCACCTCGTAATCTAAGATCATCCGGGGAGGCCCTGTTCTCACTTCCATCAACAGCACAGATGCACCTGGCGGAGACAAGAGACAGGGCCTTCTCGGCTGTGGCTCCCCGCCTATGGAACACACTCCCAAATGAGGTAAAATCTGCTCCCTCCCCGCTGGTTTTTAGAAAAAAATTAAAATCATGGTTTTGGGACCAGGCCTTCGGGCAGTAGAAGTAAATGTATGCAGCATTTCAGAAAGACAATGACTGAAATGGCGATTTGACGGACGAGACTGTTTTATTGTTTTACTTATTGTTTTATTGCTCATGGATGTATTTTTAAATTTTAATTTATATCTAATTGTAGTGTATAAGTGTAATTGCTTGTGCTGGCATTGAATTTTTGCCATTACTTATGTGTAAACTGCTTTGAGTCCCCCTCGGGGTGAGAAAAGCGGTATTCAAATACTGTAAATAAAAAAAAATCAAATAAATAAATAATAAAGCATCCTGCATATTTTCTCTTCTGTTTTCTACCATAAATTCATATAGAGTACTGACTAAACTGCACTCTCCTCTGCTCCAGATAAATATTAGGAATTCCTACAAGACCTTAGGGTCATATTTCATTAAAATGATCTTTTACATGGAGGAGCATGAAGTTATTCCACAAAATATTATTCTACAAAACTTAAAAAAGAGAACTGATGAAATATCCAATATAGAGTTTGATTTTCTTAAAAAGAGAAGATTATTTAAAGGCAAGGCACAAGGTTAAAAGGCTGTACCTTCCCCCAAACAAGGAAATTCAGACCACATATATTCCTCACCACTTCTAAATATGGATATTCCTGATTTCTCTTGAACTTTCATGCCAAGTAAAGGCAAGAGATGCAGTGCAGCCTCTGATCATGTGTACTATCACAAATAACATTGTTGACAAGGATAGGTAAAGGTAAAGGTTTTCCCCTGACATTAAGTCCAGTCGTGTCCGACTCTGGGGTGTGGTGCTCATCTCCATTTCTAAGCCGAAGAGCCAGCGTTGTCCGTAGACACCTCCAAGGTCATGTGGCCAGCATGACTGCCTGGAATGCCGTTGACAAGGATGTGAAGGGTATATTATTTGCCTTCCAGAAGTAGTGAGAATGAGTGGGGTAGTGGGTTGGCTTTAGCACAGCAGGTTAAACACCAACTGCAGCTGCAATAAATCTTGCGAACTGAAAGATTGACAGTTCAAAGCTGGGTCAGGATGAGCTCCTGATCTTCAGCCCAGCTCCCCGCCCACCTAGCAGATCAAAAACAGCAATGTAGTAGATAGAATAGGAACCGTATTAAGTGGGGAGGTATTTTAGATACCGTGTTTTGATCAGAAAAGTTTACAAACAAACCTCTTCAGCAAGGTGATGGAGCAACAGCACCCCCTGTGGCGGAAAGTGAGCACAGCCGCCAAAAATGCCAAAAGATGGGGAAAAGCCTATATAATACCTCTATCTATTGTCTGTCTTGTCACTGTATAATTGGCATTGAATGTTTGCCATAAATGTGTTATGTGATCTGCCCTGAATCCCCTTCGGGGTGAGAAGGACGGAATATAAATGGTGTAAATAAATAGTACAATATTTAGCGAACTTATGATCGGCTTTGCTGAATGTGTCATTCCTCCTTATTGAAAGGGATTAATGTAGATTAATGGGGAAACTAGTGACAGCTAGAAAGAAGTTGAACAGGCAGTAGGAAGGAACCTTTCTAACGGTGCAATCCTATCTGCAAATTACATTATTATAAAAAGAAGAGTCCTACAACAACACTTTCTTCTCTCAAATAAAGATCAACCAAACAGGACTAATAAATATTATCTAACTGAATACAAAATTTTGCTACAAATCTGTTGTTTATATATGATACTACCAAAGCCTACATTTCATTTCTGCAGTTCCACACCACAAGCAATGTACCATATAGGCAGTGAAGTGACTGAGAGGATTATGTTATGGCAATGACAACTGAAAATAATTAAATCCTACACTACATTGTAGGACTTCAAGACAGCATACAATACCACTTAAAGGTGTTTTAAACAATACAATAACTCAAGGAGATTAAAATGATTGTGTAGGTTACAACTGGTTTAAAAAGTTAAGATTGGATAAATCCACATGAATGTGAGTTTCGGGATAATGTAGCAAAAAAGGGGTGGGATTTGATAGGAGATGTATTGTAGCTATGCAGCTATCAAATACCCCCCCCCCCCAATCTAACAGGACAGTGTCTAAACTGAAAATTGTCATTAGTAATAAGCAATCTCCATTAGTATCAACTTCCACTTAATTCAGAATCTTTAAAAATATATAAGTAATATTGGAACAGGAAGCAAAGTGTACTTCTTAGGTTCAATATGTTACAGGCAGTCCCCAAGTTATGGATGAGAGAAGTTCTATAGGTTTGTTCTTAAGCTGATTTTGTATGTAAGTCAGAACAGGTAGATATTTTTTACTGTAACTCCAGATATATACAGCATAGGGTTGACACACCTGTGGTGTTTGTTTTGCTGTCTGTGTCCCTATTCAGAAGATTTCACTTCACTTTCCGTCCCTGTGAGAATTGGATTTTGAAAAATGTGGCTTGTTGTGGGAACAAGGATTGGAGATAAAGCTTCAGTGGAGACACCTTTTCCCCAGGATAACTCTTCCAGGAGTGAATTTCCCTTCCTAGGTGTAGATTTTGTTGGAGCAAGCAAGAAATCAGTTAGTGTGTGTGTGTCAGCAATAAAATAAGATGCATGAAGTTGATTGGTTGAGCTTTGTGAAGGGAGATGGCTAAGCCTGGGACTTTTGGTTACTGTTACATTTTTGTCCAGGCTTGAGCTATGCTCAGAGAGAAGCAGAGAAAGACAGAGTTTGGAGTGTGCTCTCACTTCATGAACTGCTGAAGGAGTTTATCCACAAGGACAAAGAAAGACTATTTTAAATCTCTCATAAAAGGATATTATGTGAGTTGATGTAACTGATCACACTGTACATATGTTGTTCGGAACTACGAAGAGTAAATTACTTGTTCTTTATTATTAATCTGCGTGGCATATCTTCTTTCTCTGGCAAGGAAGTGTGTGGGCTGATCAAATGTGAACTACACGTGGTTTATTTTACACTAACTGTACCTGGCCACGCATTGCTGTGGCCCACTGTGGACAAATGGGAAAGAATGAAAAGAGAAAGAGCTGGTTTCTAAGCTATCAATACACAACTGAAGTGGCAAAGTGTCAACCTAATATAGGCCCCTTTTCAGTCTCCTTGAGGCCAAAGGGTTATATGGATGTGTGGAAGGGCCCTGGGTTACCTGAGTCCACACTGCCATATAAACCAGTTCAAAGATATTATATAGGTATTATTATTATTATTGACATATAGGTATTATTATAGGCATATAGATCTTATTATAGACACAAATATTATTATTAAAGCTATATAGGTATTATTATTATTATTGATGTTATATTTTATTTCATATCAAAATTTTATTATTAGTATTTACAGTATTTATATACCGCCTTTCTCACCCCTGGGGGCAGGCCCGTAGCCAGGATTTTGTTTCGGGGGGAGGGGCTGAGTTTGGTTCGTGGGGGGGCTGAGTCTGAGTGAAAGAGGGTCTGCCCTAGCAAACCTTTTGTATTGTTACCCCAATACCCCCATGCATATGGGATATATTGAGCATGGTGATCAGATCATGATATGAATAAACATAACAGTTTAAATAATGTACCAGTAAGGCCTTCTCGCGGACCACCATGAGAATTTCGGGGGGGGGGGGGGGCTGAAGCCCTGCCTGGGGGGACTCAAAGCATTGCATGAATTAGTATAAAACTGATAAAAAAATAGAAGGAGCAGAGGGCTAAACATCTTTCAAGCAAAAACAGGCAACAGATGTATGGATATTATTACAGACCTATAGATATTATTATAGGCATATAGATATTATCATTATAGATATTATATAGCTATTATTATAGATGTATCTATATTATTATATGTGTATATAGATATTATTATTATTATTGTTGTTATTATTATTATTATAGACATAGATATTATAGGCATATAGGTATCTTTTTTGAGTGAAGGACATAGATTGCTTTAGTAGATGTCTTGTGTCCAAATTTGGTGTCAATTCGTCCAGTGGTTTTTGAGTTCTGTTAATCCCACAAGCGAACATTACATTTTTATTTATATAGATTATGCCACAGATTTCTCTCACTTCCTGTTGTCTCATCCCTGTTTTTAACTGTGAGTGGTTTGTAAGTCAGATGTTTGTAACTCGGGGACTGCCTGTGTTCATATTTATGGTAATGAAATAGAATTAATTCACTTTCAAACAAAGGGTGCTATACTTACATGTGCTACGTTTGATGGCCTATTAACCTGCTGAATATCAGCATTATTAGTAATATTTCGTAGCGTCCGTACCGCTGGACTCCATGTTGCCATCATTTCTGGACGCCCGGAGCTTGTGGGATTTTGTACTGAAGTCATTATATTACTCCTGATCTCAGAGGACAAAATATTGCCTGGAACCGGTGGGACGTTGGCACACAAGTTAATCAAACCCGAATCCTTCCCCGACGGCAATCTACACTTTGCTGGAGCAGTCTGTGGAACTTCAGCAGGAGTCCAGTTTAAGTTCCTTTCATGTTTTTCAGGAGAAGAGTCTGATGAATCATCAAACATCAATTCTCCTTTTGTTTTGTCAGCAGCAACGGATTTAGGAGAAAAAGCTTGGTCACCTAAAGGCGATCCTTCTCGAGAAGATGCTGGACTTGATAATTTTTCATCTGTACTCCCTTCATTTGGTGAATATTGCTCTTCGTTTTCTTCCTCTTCTTCCTCCTCCTCTTCCTCCTCATATATAATGAGTCGGGGATGATAAGGAGCCTCGTCTTTTTTTGTTTTATCGGCTATAGAATCTAAAACCCAGTCGGGAGTCACAATTTTGATGTTCTCTTGTTTATAGGCGCATTCAAATTTTTCCTGGGAAGAACAAGAAGTTGAACTGCAATTACGGTTGGAAAAAAAATTACACAAGCCAACAAAAACTTTTTGTAATCATCAGAAATTAGAGTAGCACAGTTTAAATCAATTTTTATGCTGATTTTAAATATGTCTTTTTTCCCCATCACATCGAATTTTTAAAATATGACAAATGGGACATTACAGCAGACTACTGTAAAGTCTGCACATTTCACATCACATTCATGTAAGATAAGTCAACAAGTATTTTTCATCAGATATAATTTTCATCAGATCATAGAGTTTTTTTGTGTTGAATTCAAATCTGTGTTTATTTTTTCTCTATCAGGCGTAGTTTTTGCAAGGTGCCTAATCAAATAATTAATGCATTTATGCACTGATATCAATAGAATCCAATTAACCACAACCCAACAAGTATTTTTCATCAGATATAATTTTAGATCATCCTTATAATGTTTTTGCGCTGAATTAAGATCTGTGTTTATTTTTTCCTCTATCACGCGTAGTTTTGCAATGTGGCCAATCAAATAATTAATGCATTTACGCACTGATATCAATAGAATCCAATTAACCACAAGCCAACAAGTATTTTTCATCAGATATAATTTTAGATCATCCTTATAATGTTTTTGCGCTGAATTAAGATCTGTGTTTATTCTTTCTCTATCATCTGTAGTTTTTGCGATGAGGCTAATCGAATAATTAATGCATTTACACACTGATATCAACAGAAACTAATTAACCACAAGCCAACAATTATTTCTCAACAGATATAATTTTAGGTCATTCTTATAGAGTTTTTGCGCCGAATTCAGATCTGTGTGTTTTTTTTCTCTATCACGTGTAGTTTCTGCGATGAGGCTAATTGAATATTTAATGTATTTATGCACTGATATCAATAGAATCTAAGTCAGATCAGTACCTAAATGCATTAATTATTCAATTAGCCTGATAGCAAATCTACACGTGATAGAGAAATTATGTCTGATGAAAAATACTTGTTGGCTTGTGTTATAATTTCAGGAAACTTTAAATTTATTTTAAAGACTATATTATATCAGCACAGCCACCCGCCTGGTTTTTAAGATGACACATTTCCTAATATGAATCATATATATTTTTATTTTTTAAAGAAGATACTAAAGTATGTTAATACGACAAATCAGTCCAACACCCTCTGAGTTTCTAACCTGTTGTTATTTCAATTGTCATATATTAGTGCATTTCTAGTTGGTCTTTAAGGATGAAAAACTAATTCCTATGTGTGAGGAAATTCAAAAACAGTAGGTACCCAAGCAACCCTTCCTGGAGAAGTTTTAATTACCAAAAACTACAGTATTTAATATATCAATTGGTCCTGAAGTGTTGCAACTGTTTTTAATTATTTCTACCTATCATGCATCACCTTATGATGCACAAAATCCCCTAGTGCAGTGTTTCTCAACCTGGGGGTCGGGACCCCTGTGGGGGTCACGAGGGGGGTGTCAGAGGGGTCGCCAAAGACCATCAGAAAGCATAGTATTTTCTGTTGGTCATGGGGGTTCTGTGT